CCACAGGGATAACTGGCTTGTGGCAGCCAAGTTCATAGCGACGTTGCTTTTTGATCCTTCGGTGTCTTNCTGGAGTCCTTGCGGCCATTGGTGCCCCATTCTCGGGAAACCAGTGCCTTTGCTGTNGGGTGTACCGTCCTCCTCATACTGTCTCACAAAGCGAGAGCGGATGGGGGCGCGCTTGTGACTCCCGGCTGCGAAACTCAAACAGCCGTTTTCTGCTGTTGCGTCCTCGAGAGCGTACCAGAAGCCAACGGCCGAAGGTGGATCTGTGTATAGAAAGGTGCTGTCTTGGTGGGGAGGGACGCGGCCACCGATCTCAGGTTGCTTGCAGATGATCATTGACTGGAGAATTCTTGGGTCGTGATAGCCGANGGATTTTGCGAGTGCGGCATTGGCCGAGGAGAGCGAGGCGCTACGGTAGAGAGGAGANNGGCCGTGTAGGTAGTGGCCGATCTTGTTGATGGCCTTAGCCTTGGGCTTGGTGAGGTGCCCGTCGGCGTCGAAGGCGTCNNTAGTCTTGTGTTAGTTCGTGTGAGTGAGACAGAGACGGTGATACATGCCTTCCTCGAAGAAGAAGCGGACCTTGTCGCCAGAGTCGAGAAAGTAGTCGTCACCAACGTGGTCGCTCTTCTCGCCGGTACTGAACTTGGTCATGGGGTGGTCGTCGAGAGAGAAATCGTCGAGCATGGTGTAAGCTTNCTCGAGAAGTGCCTTGGTCGTGTCTGGACTCAGTGCGTCGGGGATGAGCAGATAGCCATTTGTGTTCCAGAAGTCGAGCTGTTCCTTGGTGAGGCCACTGCTCAGGTCGGCCGCCGGTGGTGGTGACACGCGCGCAGGCATGATGTGTGAGGGTGTGTGAGGAAGGCGAAGGGTAGAAGACGTCGTCGAAGTGAAAGATACAGCAGCACAAGAAAGAGAGCAGGGGACAAGTTCCTCTTCGAAGGTTGCGTGATTAACCCCGCGCTCCGGATAAGCGGGGCGGGCCAATCAAGGCGTTTCCCTTTCTCGCCCATCAACAACCATTATACACGACAGCACCACAAAAACATCGTCCCCTGTATAGATTTCCAGCCAGGTCCAGGTGCTCTTGCCATCAGCAGATGCCACTATTAACCCCTGCGCAACAACGCGTACGAAAGGGCATCCATCTTCTTTCCGCTTTTCTCTACTCATACGACATAGACTATTAGCAAGAAAGGGCTTCCCATGACTCGACTTAGCACAAGGAACCGGCGAGCTGGTTGTGCAATGTTTTACACTCGATTGTAGCTACAGCAGTAGCAGCTTTTTCTAATCATTCACTATTGTAATTACCGTACGGGTACGAGATAATGCGGTAGTATTAAAACCGTCACTACTAGTACTAACATTAGAAGTGGTCGTAGCATACTAATAATTGCTAGACTAGTCCAATACTAACTATTTTAGTCACTATAGTAAACAACAATGGTTAGTAGCTGTCTTATAATTTAGCTTAATACAGTTAGTAGTAGCTTAGCTATAGTATTACTTTTAACTATATGGCTTAAAGCTTATATTGTTGCAAAACAAATTAAATTGCTTAAATAGACAAAACTTCTAGAAATAAATATCTAAAGCTAGTGGAAAAAAGCCATGTATCTGTATATATTATATATATATCCACGATTTTGTAACGTTATATAAAATAGCTTAACTGAGTATATAAGCTTAGTATACCGGCAAGTATTAATATAGGGTCAAACTTTATGCTTAACTTAATAATGTAGAGTGTATAGAGTAGAGAGTAAATATGTAGAAATATAGTTTTCTAAAAGATTCTTAGCTTTTCTATCTATCTATAAGCCTAATTAGAATAATATAATACTAACTACCCTCTAGTTGTCTAGATCTATCTATTTACTATCTAGAACGTTTTTGCTATTAATAGGTTATATATATGAGCCCTACCATCTAGGATCTTAAAAACGTAATATTTCAAAATATATATTGCTCTAATCCTTAGCTATAGTACTATCTAGCCTTTAGTCTATTAGACCTAGTTATTTAAATTTATGTAAGCCTAAAAAAATCACCCTTAATATACTAGACTAGCATAGCCTTAATAGGAAGGTCTTAACATAGGCTTGTCTATACTTTAATCCTTTATCCTGCTTTTGGTTAGCCTTCTCTGCCCCTTTTAGGTACTTAGGTACCTCGAATATATAAACATGTGTCCTTCCTACCCGATTACTACATTCTTTTCTCTTTATACTCTAAAGTAAATACCTACTCTATTCCTACTACCACTTTAACCTTTACCTTTACCCTTACCTATCCTTAGGGCTATTTTTACCTTATCCTACTATTATCATGCCTTGTAAAGTACAAGTTGTTATTCCAGTTATGACTAAGTATGTATTTGTTGTTTATTCAAAGCTTATGCAACCATTAAGGCTAATTGTTGCTCTTAATTACTCTAGAAAGCAAAAGTTGGCTTATTCTAAGCTTATCACCCCTACTACCTGTCTATCCCGACCGCTATTGGAAAGTCGGAAACTAAGAAGCGTCCCGGTCGCCCTCCTGGCAGCAAGAATAAGGCAATGTCTTATGCTACCCTTTTAAGAGAGTATACTCTCTTGAAAAAGGAGCTAGAGGAAAAGAATGCCCTTATCTCTACCCCTGGGGATGAGAAATGCATGTAGAACATGGCTCACGGAACATGAAATCACTCGAGGGTGTATAAGGCTGGCTCGGATCGCAAAACTCAGTATCTGTCATGATTGTCGTGCAATTTCGTTCTTTATATATAAGTGCATGTCGAATGGAATTTTTCTCACCAAGCTTCCCACTTCTGACCGCCCATGGCAACAAGCCGGTTGAACAACTCGTCCCTGAGGGGCATGGCAGTGATGGTGAACACTTCACCAGTCTTGCTCACAATCTCCATACCATCAGCAACTTCGCGATCGAGTGCCCAGCCTACCACCAGCTTCGCCTTCCATCCCAGTCCGCCAACCTTCTTCAACTCTTTGATATCAGCTATGGGGACGGTCCAGACGGGATGCAGCTCTTCCTCACGACCAAGAGACCCGATTTCGGCGACCTTCTTGTCCAGAGTGAAAGAGACAGCAGGGATGGCTGTCCTGGTAGAAATGACAGTGTGGCCTTTCTTTCCGTGGAAACGGCAAGCAAAGTCGACAGGGCCGTCAACATTGTAGTCTTTTGACTTGGGGATAGCACCGAGACGTTGCTTGGACGGCTCGCTTCCTGCCTTTGCTTTGAGCTTGTCGGCGCCAAGAGCAGTCTCGACAGTACCTTTGACGGTGCTCTTGAAGAATGAGACGAGCTTGTGACCCTTCTTGCCGTGCTTGCTGTCTTTGCTGTGGTCAATATCAGCACCGGCAGTCTCGTGAGCAGTTGTGGGGTCGTGAGCCATGGCTGCATCCAATTCCTCCTGAGTGGCATTCAGAGGCCAGTCGGCGCCAGTCGCACGCAAATGTTCATCTGTGATTTCGACTGGAACGTCCGGTGGAGGCTCTTTGCTGCTAGGCGGAGGCGGAAGAGGAGCCTTGTTTGCTTCGCCAATTCGAAGAAGAGTAATGGTGAGCTGGGCGTTGGTAGGAACACCCTTGAGCAGAGTGTTTCGGATTTCGAGCAACTTTTGCCAGTGAGGGAAGGTACGGTTGAGCCATCGTAGACCGGGCTGGATGACGGGATCGCCGAAGAAGCCGAAGCCGACACCGAAAGTGACACCCTTGGTGAACATGTAGGCTGAGGTCAGCAGAGACACGGCGATNNGAGGTACGACGACGGCGGCCAGACGCAAGCGGTACAGGTCACGAGGAANAGGTGGAGTGGGAGACAGGGCATTTGCAAAACGCTCCCACGTGTCGGCCACGTCGGCGAGACCATGCATGATAGGCCTCATCTTGCTCCACATGGCATTCTCCATGGGCACCTTTGTCTTGTCGTGTGTGGGTGCCGTCACTTTTCCTTCAGCAGACGTCTTTGCAGAGCTGGCGCTCATGGCAACTGCGGTGGGGTCAGGGATGCTGTCGGCGATGCCTCCCTGTCCTGGTGGGGGCTCGGTCTGGGGATGTTTGCCGCTGGCGCTTGCAAGAGCGACCGAGGCGATGCTGTTGACAAAGTTGCTCGCCTCTGCTTCGGCGGCCTCGCCCTTGTGCTGTTCTGGAGCTCCTGTAGCTGTGTCTGTGCTGCCTAGCACGCCGGCCTTTGGCTTTTGCACGCCGCCAGTCTTAGNCGCGTCGACGAGAGCCAGAGGAGCGGGAGNGAACATGACGTCGCGTGAGGGCGGATAGACGATCAGGACGACCAGCGTGACGGTAAACAGTGGGACAAGCATGTCGAGCAGCCATGCGACAAAGTATGCGGCGCAGAAATAGGCAGTGCGATTGCGTTCACGCCATGATCTGAGACGGCCGACCTGCTTGATGAAGCCCATCATACCCAGGCCGACCGTCATGTACAGGCGTTCGATGGTGGCGCGGAGCTTGTCGGGCGAGAATTCGTCTTCGTCGGCGATGTTCAAGTCGAGATTGCCAGGGACGGGGTAGGGATAACTTTTGACATGGTACATTTNGCTGTGCGTGTCAGCTCAGAGAGCATCGGCGGGCAGGGGCTGCTATGGACTCACCTTGTTGAAGCGACGGACCAAGACCCAGAGCTCTTCATTGTCCATACCACCGACCAGAGGAGCGGGGATCTTGGACGACGGCTCGTTCCAACCCAAATCCTTGACATCAGCATTGTGAGCGAGCTGTGCGACGCCCTTCTCATCAATGTCGGCTTGGGCAAGGGCGTGACTGGCCGTGGGCTCTTCAGTCAAGTTCTGGGCGGCGTCCGTGGCTGTCGCGGTGCGCGCATCGCGAGTGTCTTGTTGCACTGCAGGGTGATTGACGGNGTGCAGGTCCTGGTAGACGACACCTGTGCCTGTCGTTGATTCTGACATGGTGCTTGCGATGTCTGCTGGGAACCAAGGCAAGTCCAGATTGTGGAGAGGCTCTGCTCGACATCAAAAACGCAGCCATGACGAAAAGCCAATTACCATCCCTGCCGCCGTTCCTGCCAACCCCACGACGCCTTGCACGTCATCTCTTGTCCCATCAAGTTTCAGGTGCGGCTGGCGTTTGAACACGCGGCACATCTCAACTTGTGCAAAATCACGTGCTCATCCTGCAGAAGTGCAAATGCTCGGGCCGAGAAATGCGACATGGTGTTTTGCAAAAGCAATCAATATTAATTAATCTCATCATGTTGGTTCGGAGAAGCCTCTCGTATTGCCCCAGACCCTCATGTCAGCATCACAGTTCGCACTACCTCCTCCCACACTGCTCGCTGATGAAGCTCAATCCCCCTCTTTCAATTCCTGCATCTCCAGATCACGGTCAACATNCTTCACCCCGATCGTAGGTCTTGGGCCTGGGCTGTACTTGGTCCAGCTGCTGGTATCAGACCTACTGTCAACACTGTTCAGCACACCCAGCCTTTCTCTTGCGCTTGGTTGTGATGTTGTTTGAGATGGCGACCACTGAGGTGCGTCGCTCGGCTTGCGAAGAGTGGAGTCGGCAGTGCTTGAGTCGACTAGGAACTTGCGATGAAAGTCGTTTCCACGGGCGGCCTNTGAAGGCGAGGAAGCGTGGGAGGCGGCCCAAATAGACGTCAGTGGCAGCGAGATACAAGTCGCCGTCAGGATGTTTGTGCCGACATTGGGGATGTTCTCCGCATTGATGAATTGAACGAGCGAGAAGATTGNCTATAGAATATCAGCGATCATGCGAAGACTGGAAGGAACGAGAGAATGCATACCAGGAATGAACATGGTCTGGAATCCTCCGATGAAGATGATTTGCATGCTGCCAAACTGTTTCATGCCAAGCTTGCGACGTTCGCGAAGTGACAATCCCAGTTTGGCGCAAAAGATTGCGCTGAAGAAGCAGATGCTCAGTGTCAAGCTGATGTCTTTTGCCTTTGCGAGCCAGGTCGTGCTGCTGCAGAATGCATCTGCTTTGTTGTTACATCTGACCGAGACCACTGACTGGGCGATACGAAAGCCCATAGCCACGACGGCAACGAACGAGGAGACTGCCAGGATAGACAGCTTCTGCCACATCCGCAGCGTGATGCTGACCACATGAACTTGCAGGACCAACGAGACCTCGATGCACAAAGCAACGAGCGCGACGAAGACCACAGCCGTCGTCAGACGTTGAGCTGCTGGCGTCACCACACCGTAGTCGCCCACGAGGACGGGATAAATGTCCCACCAACTGCTCGTCACGATGCAACATTGCAACAGGGCGTAGATGATGTTGAAGAACAAGGCAGCCGTGTTGAATATGAAGACCGGCGAGCGTCGCTTGTCGTGCTTGGAGAGAAGAACCAGTACGAGAAAGAGGATCAGACTGGCGCCGAATTGGACCCCTGGAATGATGCCATGAACGACGGCATCCACTATCAGAGTGTCGACGTACCACAATGGGAATTGGTTCTGTTCGCCATGACGATCAGTAACAGTAATGAATTGGTTGTACACGGCCGACTTGTTCATCGGCTGGCCTGCTGATGAGGAATCCATTGGTGAAGGGACCGACGACTTGAAGGAAGCAGGATGAGCAGGAAAAAGAGATGAGTTGTATGACGAGTGAGATGTATGAAGTCAGTTGGCGGGACCAAAGGCGGTCGTCGATATGACCATGGAGCAACAATCTGGTGGGAAGAATACGATAGAAAGAATAGCAACGAATCCCGAGAATATGCTGGCAGGTGATTGTTCTTGAAGGGTATGCATAAAACGAGGTGTGTGCGAAGATCAGAATCAGGGGACAAAGGTAGAAAGGAAGAACAATACAAAGGAGAGGTGACAAATGGAGAAGGAAATGGTAATGAGGACCATCCTGCATATCCTGTCTCATATGTGGGCCATGGGTACGCTTGGGGTGATCGTGACTACTGGGGCCGAAAGCCAGCCACTTCGACAAGTTTCTAGTTCGAGGACGTGTGTCTTCAGGATACACCGAGTGAGAATTGCGACATGAAGTTGTTGGGCATGCTGTTCGGTCTCAGGTGGCAGGTTGGCCATAGCTTAGTATTGCCCTCAGCCCGGCTTGTCTCTGTGCACGCGTCGAGCTTACCCAGTGCTTTGTCCGCGACTCCATTTTCGCAATTGATGGCAACAGCTGGCCATGACGGTGCAGACTGACAGTCAGCTTTCGTGCCGTTAGGCGTCTTTGGTTTCCGATGTATAAAACCCAACAGGATTCGTGCAGCTAGGGGATCAGGTCGTGGTCGCACCACATGGAGACGCACGGACTCCCTCGTGATATGGCCGCTGTTCCGTGTCAGTACGTCCAGACACAGGTCGTGACGACTATCTTCGCTTCTCGTCGCTTCCTCTCTACTCCAAGATCCATGGGTTCTCCAGCCAGAATCTATCCTTGATGATATCAACATGCTCCACCACGACCCTAGCCTTCTGTTTTCTCTTCCTTTCCTTTTCCAGTTGTGTTTTTGATAGTGTCTTCTTCTTCCCAGAGTCATCTGTTGGTCTGAAGAGTTGCTTTTCCGCCGGTCTCTGTGGTTGATTGCTTGTCCTCGAACTGCCAATCTCCGTCAGTATGGAAGCAGATGAAAGAGGAAGGAAACATACTTTTCTGTAAACGACGCTGCCCTTCTTCCAGATCTCGTCTTCTGCGTTGTAGTTGATGTTGAACCTTTGAANAAGGATCTCATTCTTGTCTGCCGAGAAAGTCCNCCTGTTTTGGTGTGAGCAGAGCTCAGAGGGCAATCGAGATTCTGACCTCAAGCTCACCTTCAGTGCCAACTCAGCTTCTGTAGGAGTCATGGCCGGTGTGTCCGTAGCTGGGTTTCCCTTGACCATGTTCCAGAAAGTCGTGTTGTAGAGGTTGTTTACATNGACCTGTCACGCCTGATTAGCATATCGCTAGCTCCGCAAACTCAAAAGCAAGTACAACTTACAGTCAGCCTGCCTCCAACTCAGATAATCTCTCAGAATTTTCTTCTTGGGATACAATACACATCTACCATCAAAGGTCGNGAAGGGCCTCTCCAAAGACTGTCCCGGAAAGTGCTCATCCCATTGCATACAATACTCGACCGAGAATGCTGTCGAAATACTTGTGGCGAGTTTTGCTGCTCGTCGTTCGAAAAGCTGGCAGTCTTCGTGGAGTACAAAGCTGTATTCGTCAGACTGACCGTAGGCGATGACAATGTCGGTAAATTGCTTTACGACATCGACAGCGGCGGCATTCATGAGGTCTATAGCGCGACGGTCGTTGGGTTTGGCGAAGTCCTGGCGTTTCGAAAATCTGGAGAGTAATATCAATGGCTCGTTCACATAACGAAAAGTGGCAATGTCAGAAGGCCGTCTCGACCACTGCGAGGGACACTGTTCAGATCTTTCCAACTGCAGCTCCTTCGTATCGATGTATGACCGTTCAACATAGGCAGACCTCACGCGCCACGCCAAGCTCTTGTGCATTCCCTCAATCCAGGTGTGAAGAGATCCAGAACACAAAACGATTGAAAATATGAAGAGATTGAAGACATCGAGGTAACCGAACAGAACTTACTTGCTAAAGCCTCTGCCATCAATTCTCACGACAATCCAATTACTGGGCGCAAGTGCATCCCACTCTTCGAATTTGCGCACATATTCGAACCTGATGTTTGGACCATTCTCATTAGATCGGGACTCACACAGGTACCCAGCGCTTTGCAGATCTAGACTTACTCGCTGTTGGCCATGTTGACTGTCGCTGTGCGACGGGTTGCCAATTCTCAGCGTCAGAAATTCTGCTAGCGATCACGTGATTGACGGGAGTCAGACCAAATTGTGGTTGCAGGTGAGCTGTGCCAGTAGATGTCGCCATCGCCCTCGTGGGTTCATAGTCATCTGCAAGCCGGCGTCGGAATTTCCAGCGTCTCACAAGGACACTGAGAGCGGAGCCATCGCCAGCTGTCTACACCGAGTGCCATTGAGGGGTTTGCCCTAGGTAGTCACTGCTCATTCCACAAGCTCGCGACAAAGGCCATTCTCTGAGTAGACCCTCCGCGTACGAGCTCGGAGCTCTGCAGTGCTGCTGTTCGTGACCGCGCGAGCTCATCAGTCGAAGGTCCTCTCTGGACTTCGCCTTGTTCCCATCCGCCGACCAACACCGTCTTCAACCTCGCACATCGACCCTTCAACGCCGCGCTTCCCGCCTTCAGCAACCGACTATCGTCTTGCCGTCTTCTCCTTCCTCTCTCTCACTTGAGGAACATTCAAAGAGCCATTCGGCCACCACAACTATCGCCCCACTCACAATGGCCAAGGGTTCCGCCAACCAGGCAAAGAGTGTGCCCAATAAACATCTGCATGCACGCATCGCGTATTTGCACCAAGCCGCAACCCATCTCGCCTTACAACG